ATATATATATATATATATATATATATAGATATATATATATATATATATATATATATATATATATATATATATATATATATATATATATATATATATATATATATATATATATATATATATATATATATATATATATATATATATATATATATGGGAGAGGAGGTTTGGTACCCCTAAATAAAATGTACCTTTTCCTTCCAATTTATTACTACTTTATGCTTTGGCTTGTATACTTACTTATTATGCCATATTTGTCATGTCTCCCGTTAACATCTACTAATAGGGCAAGGTTTCATGACATTGCCCGACAATGTCATGGGATGACCCGGGGGCGCTCTGTTGTCCCGTTCGTAAAATTGACAATTCCTTTAGGTTGTATGAAACGGTCAATTTTACGAACGGTTCACCAGAGCGCCCCCGGATAAGGGTGTTCAAAAATATCCGATCCAAAAAATCTGCCCATGATCTGGGTCGATCCGATCCGAAAAACGGATATTCGATCTGATATTTTAGCTTTCGGATATTTTAGATCGGTTACCCGAAAAAAATCGGATCAGATATCGATTCAAATTCTAGAACTTTTCGAATAATCGGATATCTGATTTTTTTTTTAATCTTAGAAATGAATTAAATTATTAAATAAATTTAGAAAAAAATTGAAATAATAAGTTGTTTTTCTTCAAAGTATTTAATAAAAATAGTACTTATAAGTAGTAGCAACAAATTCATCAAAACTTATTTTATAACTTATTCAAATTTATAAACTACCGTAAAAATAGTAATCTAAAATAAAATATTTTAAAACTAAATATTGGAAAAATGAAATTCAGGAATCTAAAAAGTACGGAGTATATGGATTGGATTTAATGCTTTTGGACTTGAAAGTAATAATGGATACAGTTTATATAATATATTACGGTCTGGACCGGAAAATTTCGGGTTAAACCCGGACCGGACTAGAAACCCGGAATCCCTAATTTGTAAAACCCGAGGACCGGACCTGAATCTTCCGAACCGGTCCATTCCGGTCCGGTTCAGGTCCAAAATCTGGTCAAGACTTGTTTTTAAACACCCCTAACTATATCTTTAAATGTAATTTTATGTTGATTCTGGAACTCAACCATTTTTGACTTTTTGCATTAGCATTTTAGAATCTTTTGTTTTAATACTTTTTTTGTTGTTTGCTTAGGCAAAATTACCAAAGTTACTCCCAAATTAAATTTGGTATCATTTTTATTAGGCCATTACCTAGTAATGGGATTTTTTTAGCAAATCTATATTGAATTTGATATTTTGGGTTGATTTTACTATTTTACCTTTTTTTTGTAAATTTTGTCTAAAACTCAACTTTTCGGATAATCCAATGATCCAATCCGAAAAATCAAATATCTGAAATTCAGATATCCGAATATTTTCGGATCGGATATGGAATGAGTTTTACATGATCTGAAAATTTTGGATATCCGAAATTTCGAATCAGATCGGATTGGATCGATTTGATTGAACACCTCTACCCCCGGATCATTCCATGACATTTCGGGCAATGTCATGAGAACCTGAGTGTGGTTAATATCACTGCATAACTAAGGAGGGTGTATTTAATTCGGATTTTAAAAGATTTTGATAAATTGTTTAAAATCTATAGATTAAATAAAATCAACGAATTATTTTAAGTCTATGCAGAGTTTGATAGATTTTGATGTATTTTTCAATGGAATTTTGTATGATTGTTTATTATCCATTATTACTTTTTTGAGTAAATTCCATAATTGGTCTTTTATAATAGGGAGATTTCTATATTTAGTTCTTTATTATCAAATATTAACCCTGTAGTCCTTTTTTTAAGGGTACTTTTCCACAAATGGTCCTTTTTTGCTCTTCTGTCGTGTTGGTGTTAATTTAAAGGCTAAATGTATAATTTGACATCAACATTATGTTTAGTGACGTGTTCTGATATTGGTTAAGCGGATAACACAAAAATAATGACTATGGTTGTGGATTCAATTTCTAGAACTTTTCGAATAATCGGATATCTGATTTTTTTGCTATATGTTTTTGAAATTTTATGGATATATTTATGACTATATGTAGGGGTGTGCACCGGTCTAAAACTGGACCCGAACCGGAATTGCAATTTCTTTAAGATCCAAGACCGGACATGTTCCTTTCTCAGCTTTCTTTTCTTCCGCTGTAACATTGTGAAATTATACTTTTAGCTTTCAAATTAACACTAACATGATAGAAGATCAAAAAAGGATTATTTATGGAAAAATACTCATAAAAAGGATCACTTGAATAATATTTGATAATAGGGGACTAATTAAGGAAACCCCTATTATAAAAGGACCAATTATAGAATTTAATCTATTTTTTATCCTTTCTCAGCTTTCTTTTCTTCCGCTGTAACATCGTGCCGTTCGTGCGTCCCTTCTTCTCCTTTCTCCTTCTTTCTTTTTTTCTTTCTTTTTCTTTCTCCTTTTCCATCTTCCTCATCTCTCCTCCGTTCCTCCTATCTCCGCCGGCTCCATCAACATGGATAATGTACTGATCTTTTTTCCGACGCCCAAGGAGATCGAGACCGCCGACAAGGTCCCCCATTTCGTTGACACCTTCTACAACCTCGTCACGGACATTTACGAGTGGGGTTGGGGCCAATCCTTCCACTTCTCCCACTCCATCCAGGGGAAATCCCATCGCGATCTGCTCGGAGTTGAAGGCCGGAGACCGAATCCTGGACGCCGGCTGCGGCGTGGGGGGTCCGATGCGTTCCATTGCTGCCCGTCCTGGACGCCGGTTTCCCCTCTTTCTTCAATTTCCCCTTCTTCTTCTTCCCCGTCTCCATCCCCGTCCACCGTCCCTGCCGACGAACGTATGTTTCAGTCCACCGCCGATTGCAAGTCAGTTGGCTTTTTTTTTCATCATTGCACAAATCAGCCGTTTACAACCAAATCCATTGAAATCTCTAGATGTTTTCAAAGATTTGTAAAATGAATTTTCTTGAGAAAAATAACCTCAATTTTTTTGGGGTTTTATTCAAATCCAAAAAAAAAACAAATTTCCTCTATGAAACCTTTTTCAAAACAAGGTTGAATCTGAGCCAAATTCAAATACTAATGCCAAAATACAAAGCAGCAGTCGACCAGTCGTAAGCCAAAACCTATCATTCTCCGTTTCAATAGCCTTGTGTTGGTTCTCCTGCACAGGTACATTCACATGTTCAAGAGCATGATATTATGATAATAGGATTGTTCACAAGAAAGAACTGTAGGAGCGCTATTGTTTTACAACGAGGTGTATAACCTTATTAATCAAAATAGTTTCCAGAAAACAATTTCAAAATCCATGAGCATTTAAACTCTTTTAACTCCATCTATGAGATAATACAGTTCCCCCATGATTAATTATTGGAGATCTTCTGACATGCCTTCTAACAAAAAGGTGGACAAATATTACAGAGCGAGAGGGATCCAAATGTAACCATGGGTTTGGGTGTAGCCTACCCTTTTGAGGAAATCCTCTGATCCCCATTTTTCCTTTTCAATTTGAATAAAAAAAGTCAAATTGAATTCTGAATATGAAGGTTATGAACAGGTATTTCAACAGTCACTTAATATGGGACAGATGGAGTATTTTACTTGAAATCAATCTGTAGATCTACTCTGCTTTCTTATTTTTAAATTTAGGAACTCCACTTTTCTTT